CGGGCCGAGGGGCTCCGACGGTGAGGGTGACGAGGCACTCCTTCCTCATGCCAGCCTCCACGCCCACTTCGCCCTCTCCCCTGGCCCACTTTCCTTCCCCACACCTGCCACCACAGGCACCGGCCCAGGCTCTGGTCCTAGTCCTTCGGATCTGAGTCTCTGTTGAAGACCAGTCACTGTGATCTTTGCCTAAAGCAGTAGTTTTCAAATTGGGAGGTGTTTCCTCCCACAGGTCATTGTAACACCTGGAGACATTAATGGTTGTCACAACTGGGCATGGGGGGGCTACTGACATCTAGTGGGTAGAGGTCAGGGATGCCACTGAACACCCTCCTACAACAAACAACCACTGACAACCAAGAATTAGCTGACTCAAGACATCAATACAGTAGTCCCCCCTTATCTTCAGGGGACATATTCCAAGACCCCCAATGGATGCCTGAAACCATGGAGAGTTCCAAATCCTACCTATACTATGTTTTTCCTATACATGCATACCTACGACAAAGTTTAATTTATAAATTAGGCACATTAAGAGATTAATAACAATAACTAATAGTAAGATAGAACAATTAAAACAATACACTGTCATAAAAGTTATGTGAATGTAGCGTCTCTCTCTCTCTGAGAACCGAGATGGCTACTAAGTGGCTACCGGGCTGTAGCACATACAGGTGGGTGCACCTGACACGGGATGATTCATGTCCCAGGCGAGACGAAGTGGGGCGGTGTGAGTTCAGCACACTGCTCAGAACACTGTGCATTTTAAAACTTATGAATTGTTTACTTCTGGAATTTTTCATTTACTATTTCAAACTGCCGTTGACCGCGGGTAAGTGAAACCCCAGGAAGTGAAACTGCAGGTAAGGGGGGATGACTGCGTTGCCACTGCTGAGAAGCCCTAGTGTAGACCAAGGGGCGCAGGGGAGGGGACGATGGGCTTTGCACTCACGTTGGTTACAGAAACGTGCGCAGGTTCCCATTCTGAAGTTTCATGGACCCTCTCCCCTGCTTCCCTGTCCACCAGCACCAACCGTGGACAATTTTTAGCTCAGAGGAATGCAGCGATGCTTCAGTTCTCTGTTTCAGTTTTAGGAAGCTTTACAAAAGGATCCTTAATAGATAAATCCGAGTTGCCTCACTCCATTGCCACACCTTGAGGCCTTGTCAGGTAATTACATCGTTGAGACGTGGTACACTCGTGTGCAGAGCTTTTCCCAGAGAGCTGATGCTAGATTACCTTCACGGCCCTCAGCATACCTGAGAGGAGGGGACCACTAGACTCCGTCACTGAGCCTTTCTGAGGCACCTAAGTCAGACAGCGAAGAGATAATGGGCTCAGACCTCAACCGAGAGCTGCCACCTCAGCTGACAAAAGCCAACTGGTCACTTCAGCTGCTGCACACGGACTGTCCCGTTCAGGCCCAAAGCCCTCTGCTGGGCATGGCTACACCTTTGCCATGTTATAGTTGAAGAGACAGAATCAGAGGGTCAATAAACTCCTCTATGGGGCTCCTGTCACGCGGGTGTGTGTGTTAAATGTAAATCTTAGACCCAGTGTAAGGAGAGAGAAGTTTCAAGGGCATGACTACACTGCCTGGTACATTCTAAATGTACCATTCCCTCACGAGCTCAGGACCCCAAGCTGAGACGTGCATCTTTGTTCAGCTAAAAATGGAATCCATAATTACACTGTTTATCTGCTTCATTTCCTTAATGAGGGGGACTGTGGAAGCCCATTTCTGCCTGAGCACCACAAAGGTATCATTTGAGCAAAGTTGCACAAAGAGAATGGGCTTGCTGGCACCCGGTTATGGATGGGGGTGCATTCAAGACACAAAGGGAGAGGAGAGCTTTTCAAGTGGCAACTCTGTCCATCCCCAATTGTCTGCACATAATTACTGTGAACCCAAGTCAGTTATTCTCATCAGGGACAGTTGTTGCTAAGGGGAAATTAAAGATATTCAGTTCTGTGGGGGCGTCGTTACGAGCGAGTGACGGGTCGTGGGGGCCTCTGCTATAGGTGTGCAGTGGATGTGGGCTGGGAGGGGGAGTGGTGTGATGGCAGAGAGTGTAGGAGGCTCCAGGATGCGGCCGCGGTGTGTTTCTGGGCGCCACCACTTTCAGCACTGTGACCTGGGGCGAGCTCCTTCATTTCTCTGAGCTCCAGATTCGTCGTCGGTGCTCAGGGCCCGGCGTGGTGTCTGACAGGTGCTGAGCACGGAGTGAGTGGGCTGCCAAGGTGGCAGTGGTTTTGCTGGGTAGGTAAATAATGGTCATGAGGAGTAGTCACTGTCTGTGGGACTCAAGGCAGGCTGTGTCTGCTTCCTGAACCCCAGTTTTCCCTCCTGGGAAGAGAATCGGCCTAGCTGAGCTCCATGACCCTTGTGTCCCTACACCTTTGTAAGGGTTAAAGCAGCCCTCATTAGGATGCAGGAGGCCTGAGTTATTGGTTTGCAATTTCATAGACAAATAGTAAAGACCGGCAAATATATGTGGTGTTTTCCAGAGTATTCCAGACAAAGAAAGGTCTTCACAATAAACCATGTTATTTAGATTAAATGTGGCTGTGGTTTTATATGATAATTTGTTCGTTTCCCAAAAGCACATCAAGCAACCTCCAGCCAATCGATAGTCACGCTGCAAATAGACTCAACGGTTTATCACCACATCAGTTTGGGTTCCCTACAGTTGTCAAAGGACCAAACATTTCATCTCCAGAAAGGATCAGAGCCGAATGAGTCTTGCCATTGAACTTGCTGGACTCATTCCATTGCAACTGGGCCCAGCCAATTAGAATTAGGGATGGTGCGATTATCGGGCTTATTTGAATCATATGTGCTGCCTATCTCAGCCTGTCCCAAAGACCATTCTTCCTTGCGTTCAGTGGCCAAGCTCCACAGGGCAGTTAAATGTGTATGAGCCAGGGAGCTAAAGTTCAAGGTTTGGCTCTGCTACATACTTCACTGGATGAATTTGGGCAATTTTCTCAGTCCTCTCCTCTATTTACTAATCTGCAAAACAGAGATAACAATTGTGTCTACCTAATTGTGTTTTTGTGTGTGTGTGTGTTTGTGTCTTGTCTTACTGTTAGATTAATCCATGGAAATCTGGTGCATATCAATTTCTTAATAAGTTTAGCCATTACCATCAATAGGTTATTAGATGCCATCTGCTCGTGTCGTCTCCACTTATAATCTGTGCTGTTGTTTACATAATCTTTATTTCATTTTATCGAACTCATTTTTTTTTACATTTAAATAATGTAATTATTGAAATAGAACGTCAGTATCACTTGCCATACAGAGAAAGGAATTGTACAAATGAGAACCATGAAACTAAAAAAGTGTCACCAAATTGTAGCCAGATACTCTGAGCTTTATGTGTGGCCTCCCAAGGTAAAAAGAGAGAAGAGCAAATGAGAGAAAGGTGGTAAGAGCTCCCGACCATCAAACAAAGAGGCCCTCCTGACAAGATCAGAGGCAGTGAAAAAGACGGGAAAGGGAATGGTTCCCACCAAGGGCCTCTCTGCTGTTACTGTGGGGCTTGGGCCACCCAAACTCACCTTGCCTTCCACTGACGGCGGGCAGTTGCCGTTAGGGACTGAGGTTCTCACATTTCTTTTGTCAGTTTTATTCAGAGAATTATTCACTATCCAGGGAGGACGTAATGACACTCTCTGTGCCCTGGCACTGCAGGGGGACAGACAGTGTCTGGGTCCGTGTCCTTCAGGAGCGGGATAGCTACCAGCTCTGTACTGTCAGTGGACTCAGGAGTCAGGAAGGCAGCCATCCGCTGGCCTCTTCTAGCCAAAGGATTCAGTGAAATGACATGTGTAAGAGTCATGGGGGCAGTAAGCACGGGCACTTCAATAGCATTCCCAGTGTGCCAGCCACTTTCCATTGTTAATTCTTTTGATCCTCAAACAACCACGCGAGGTCGGTACTGTTATACCCATTTTGCAGATGAGGCCGTGAAGGTGTAGAGAGATTACAACATCATCTGAGACCACACAGCAGTGGCAGAATACACAACCCAGAGTTTGTTCTTAGCTTCTCCACAATTAGCCCAACTCCTGGCATGTGGATGTGACTCTCTACCAGCTAGCATTTCGTGAAGGTTGTGTGTGCGTCCACGCATGTATGTGAAGTGTGCACGTGTGTCACTCTGCTGAGAACTATAGTGCTTAGGTCATTTATTCCTCAGAATGACCCTGCGGGCTAGCATGGCCATCTCCTCTTGCTGGTCGGTGTTCTCAGTGGTTAGATCATAGGCCTGCTCACTGAAGGGTGGAGGGGTCAATTCCCAGTCAAGGGCTGGTACCTGGGTTTCAGGTTCAATCCCTGGCCTGGGACGGGGTGAGTGTAGAAGGCAACCCAGTCTATGTCTCTCTCTCTCTCTCTCTGCCCCACCTTCCCTCCCTCCCTTCCACTCTCTCTAAAAATCAATGGAAAAAATATCCTCCAGTGAGGATTAACAACAACAAGAAAAAGCTAATTATGAGTCTTCTTTCTTTTGTTTTAAATAGGAAAAAACTACAGCACACTACACTTCAATCACAAACACCGAATTAATTTCCTCAAAATAATTAAAGCTCAGTGAAAAGCCTATACTATAAAAAACGATCACATCAGGATATAAATGCTTAGAGCTCGGCTCCCCGATCATCCAAGGATTATCATTGTTACTAAACGATTGTTCTGCATTCACAACCCGGTGATGGTTCACTTAGTGCCAGAACCGCCCAGTTGGACATTCCACAAAGCGCCTGCCCGTGGTTCTGACATCCAACCAGTCGTGTTTTGAATATAACATGAGACTTTGCCCCCCCATCATTTTCTTAAAATCTGTTGAGTTTTGCAATTGTAAATGTAAATTATATATATGCCTATAGCATATATTATATGCAATATATATTTATAAATACATGTTTATATTTTATATAAAGATCAGACAAAAACATAGGTACTGGAAACCTGTAGGCATTCTACTGGGAAAATGTTAAGGAGAAGAATTTCCCGTGAAGGTACCTTGTTCTACCAACACCTCCATTTTACAGATGAGAATACTGAGGAGTAGCTAGAAGCAATGGAGCGGGGGATTGTGCTCCAGACTCCTCTGACTTCAGATCCTTCAACCTTAATCACTATGCTATAGCATCTGCCATCCTCATTGATATATATAACCTAACCTTTCAATTACAGCTGACATGCAATATTATATTAGCTTCAGGTGTACAACCCCGTGATTAGACATTTAGATAATTTATGAAGCGATCACTCTGCTAAATCTCATACCCATCTGACACCATATCTAGTTATTACAAATTATTGACTGCATTGCCTTCGCTGTGCTTTACATCCGTGACTGCTCTGTAACTACCAATTTGTACTTCTCAGTCCCTTCACTTTTCACCCATCCT